TGGTGTATGCTTTCCACTTTTCCTGGATTTCATTATGCCTTCCTGCCTCACAGAACAGCTGTAACATTAAACCCACTGAAATTTGTAAAGTGCTTGGAGATCCACTGAAGGAAGGCTGTAGAGGAGTAAAAGGTACTCAATTTTCATTGCTGCTCTATCAGGCAAGAGAGTTTCCAGAGTGTCTTAATAATAAATAAGAATAAATAACTGCAAATGTAGAATCTGTTCTACGCTCATTAATAGATACCTTTGGGGCTGTGGTTTCAGCAGAGTCTCTTTTAAGGAGAAGGTGAGTATAGATTTGAAGATTTGAATTCATATTTCAATACCTTTCTTATGGCCATGGCTTGAAGCATCAGTGTGCTTTAGTAGTGCACGAACACTATTCAGATCTACTGGCATTTGAATAATAGTGGTAGATTGTTTGACCGCTTTCTCCTGTCAAATTTCTACTAGATTTTCAAATAAATCATTCACCAATATTTTTTTCCCCATGGTTTGGTTAGCTCAATAGCCAGCTGAACAATATTCAACAAATAAATTACTCACTTTTTCCCCATCAATCTGCAAATAATTTATTCACAAATACTTTTACATGATGCAGCCAGTTCTAGCCAGGACAAATCAAGGTAATTTCCTACTCTTTTGATCACATGCCAGTAGGACTTTATCTTGGACAGCTCAATAGAGACAGGTTTTAATGCATAATACATAATGGGTAAGCTGAGTTTTTCACAGTTCTTTATGAGCTCTCTGCTATCACCCATATTTCTGTTCAGCTACTAAAGAGGAATGGCAGAGGTATTCATCCAGGTACTTTCAGAAACATTTCACAAAACCAACCACACAGCTTTGAGGGTGTAGGGCTCACATCAGCCATGGCTGTGATGGGACAGCCCCTTGGCTGGAACGTGCAATCTGTTCAGTAAAGCAAGGCAAAATTTAACAAGACCTGAGAAGAGGAAATGGAGACGAGTATTGTGCCTGCTCGGAAACACAAAGGGAACCCAGAGGCAGAATGAAATCAAGCAATGTGGAATTTCACCAGTATGCTGGGGATAAAGCCCATAGCTCTTGAGAAAAGGGTCTTTAATGAGTAGCCAAGACACAGGACGGCACATCCCCTTGTAGATGTCTCCAGGACAACATTTGTGCTGTGGTTCCCTTTTCCTAGGGTTCTCATGCAATCAGTTTAGGAGCTGCTAACAGCACCCTTCCTGCCCTTCGAGGCTGTTGGATTGCTGACAGGGTAGCTGAGCGTGGCCTTACCTGTCTGTCTGCCTACCCCTCTCTTTTGTTGTGGAGAGCTCATGGCAGCCACACACCAGCAGCAAGGGGCCTCACGTAGCTCAGGCAATGGCACCGAAAGATTTCTCTGCTGCTTGAGGTTCGCAGCCAGCAACATGAACTGCACATGAGCAGCACTTCTGCAGCCTCTGCTCCTAAGCAGGGTGCTGGGTCCTCATCAGGGTGGGTCCTTCTGCTGTTGGTCGATGTACAGCCCTTCTGAATGCTGTTTACTCATGTACTCCATGCTGGATGTGGGCCTTAGATGCAGACATCTCACCTCTGTCCTCTGCTGTTTAGGCAACAAGGTGGGGAGAACAAGAATTGTTTATCCATGTTTGCCAAGAGAGAAACTTAGCAAAAGCTAGCAAGTGTATGTTGGAGGAGTGGTGCAAGTAGGGAGTGGTTGTGTGTGGGTTTCTTTAGCATCAGGGCGTGTTCATGTTTCATGCACATTTCATGAATAATAACGTGTTTAATATAACACTCCAATCTCAATCCTTCCCTGAAATTCTGCTGGCTAATCTAGTTACCCCCAAATGAGAGACGCCTTCAGCCTATGCATTATGCAGAAATCTAGGTATGAAGAAACACAGGCAAACATTTCTGCAGCATCATCAATAAATGAGTATGTGTTATCTACCCAAATCAACAACGTACTAAACACTGAAAGTCAAATGGGATGCCTTCCTGAGAAACAAACAACTGACCACATATTTACTCTGGATCTCATGAATAAACATGGAAAGTGCACAAAAACAGAAGAAGATATTTGTCTCGACTTTATACTTGGAGAAAGCTTCTGGCTCAGACTGGTTCTCATAGCTGAACTGTACAAAATGGAATTGGCAAGGGGGAAAAGTGACATAATCACATACATGTAACAATCCATTGAAAGTAGGACACACCAGAAGGAGAAGAAAACAGGCTTTGAAAGAGACGGTAGACTATCACAGTGGTCAGCTTCAGACTTGCTCTGTCATCTGTGCTGTGGATTTATCAGCCTGAGAGAAACAGCTCTCAAATTGAATGAGGGATCTCAGACACCTGCCTAAATTGTCACAATGTTCCGGAATGTATTTTAACACACCCTGCTGCAAGGCCATGTACTGAGGAAGGAATGAACATAGTGATGAATGGCAGGATAAGGATGCTCTCCGGAAAAAACAGATGCAGAAACTTGGGTATTCAACAAGGATAATGAACTCCACAAGCTTTTTGGGCAGTGTAGGAAGTTAATGGCCTAATTTCATTTTTAGTTATGATAGAAGGGGAAAATGAAACAATGACTGAGAAAGGATTTTTACTCTGTGCACAGCATGAGTTTATAGACTGCAATGACACTGAACCCAAGGTGGGTGCCTACAAGTCAAAAAGCAGTTAGAAACATTGGAGTGTCTGAAAAATGCTGCAGCAGCTGAAATTGAATCCTACAGTGTGAGGTTTCAAAGAAAACAACCTATTCAGGTAAACAAGGAGAAGGGAGAGGAGTACCATGTATAGTTACTTATCCATGAAAAGGGATGGGTCTGCAGCTTTGCAGACAAAGACATAATGGGTTCTGATGTCTCAAATTTAAAGTTAGACCAAGTCAACCCTGAAAGAAGCAGTTTCCTAGCAGCAAGGATAATTAAACATTGAATAAATTAGTAGGTGGAAGAAGGCACTTGCCATTACCTGGAGTCTTTAACACAAGAAGTGTTGTCTTTCAAACTCACTGATCCAGCTGCAGGGGGAAAAAAATCTGTGACTTTCATATATGGGTCACATTAATGGGTTACAGTGGCCCCTTTTGTCTGGAAGTCTGACTATATGGAAGAGAATGTGTTTCTTACTGAAATAAAAGAGTGAGATGACACTTGTTGAGAATACCACACATGTCTTAGGATAGTGGGGGTTTCAAGACTAGAGTTTGATGAAGGATCTCTTGATGAAGCACTTTAACCAGAATGATGAAAGCTGACTGGTAAGGGTGAGAGATCTTATAACTGTTTTATGAATTTGACATAGGGACATATCTTGGTTTACAGAAGTGACATTTTCCAGTGAATAAAAAATGTATTTGAATGCTGGCCAAAGGAGGAGGTAGAGTGGAATGATTGGAAACAGGCAGCAAGAACAAGCAGGAATATGAAGGTATTGTAAATGTAGGTGAAGACAGCCTTGTTTTGTTTGGACAGTCTTTTCTCAGTCATACTTGTGGATTCAGCCCCATTTGCGGTCTGGGAGCTCAGAGAACTTCAGCGTGGACAGGATCAAGTGTCCCCCAGGCACCTCATGGCTGCAGCTGTGCAGAGATCTACTGTGTGCAGGAGCTCAGGTAACTGTGGTCAAAGGGGTAAAGTTCTCCTTATCAAACGAGGGTCTTGTTTCATTCCTATCCTCTCTACTGTAGAACGTAACAGAAAGAATAACAAAGTCCAACCTAAAATCCAGTCTGATAGACATGCTCAGTTAGGAACACAGCACACACTTCCTGCTAGTGGAAGCAAACAACCTTGCCCAAGCCAAGGCATGCTCAAGACCAGGGTGCACGGGAGATGCCAGAATAAAGCCTAAACCAGCCATTTTGTGTGGGAGCAGCTGCCCAAAACCACGCATAGGCTCCAGAGATTCCCCACATTGGGAAATGCGTAACACGCACCCACCTCCAGCAGGGAGTCTGGGCAACAGCAGACAACTGTCCAAGTTACCAGAGAGCCGCCCAGCGCCTCAGCTCTTTGTTTTTACAAACAGGAAATTAAATCCCCCAGCAAACAAAAATCTCTTGAGCAGCCTGGGAAGGTCGTGGAGCTGTGGCACGAATACCAGGCTGCAGCATCCCCTTATTGAGTTAACTGGGAAAAGAAGGGGGGAAGAAGCTGAGTCTCCAAACAGGGCAGTGCTGCTTTTGGTGCCGCCTGGCACCGGTGGGGAGCAAACGGTGTCTGTGCTCTCCCTCTCTTGACCCAGGCCATGAGCTCCAGGATCCATGAGGGAGCACAGGCCGGCCTGAGGAACGGCAGGGGGCACGAGTGGGGCCGCCTGGCAGTGGGTTTTAAGGCTACACGTTCAGGGATGGGTGGGGGCACAGCAGACCCTTCAGGTCGGGCTATGCCCAGGTGTGAGGGAGCCCTTGGGGTTGGGGGGTTCTGCAGGGCAGCAGGAGCCCCCAGCTGGGGCTGTGTGAGGGCACAGGGGCAGCAATGACTCCCCCATGTGTGGGGGGGTTCTGTGTGCAGGAACCTCGTGCTTCCGTGAGGAAAGGGGGCATCCCCCGACCCCCGCACTGGGATCACGAACACGAGTGTTCCCCACCCCACTGAGGCAGCCCCACAGGCGGGGCAGGGGCGAGGGACTAAACAGCGCCCCAACGCCAAGGGCCATTCCCGGAGGGACATCCCGGGTCGAACCGTGCTCCAGCCCGGGCTTTCCCGAGCCACGTGTGCGCGGCGCAGATAGGGCACCACCGCCCCTCGCTCCCCGGCCCAGGGCTCGGCAAGGTTCGGCGGGCCTCGCTCTCCGCCCTCCCCTTTAAGGGGAGGGGGCCGGGCCGGCCGGGCCGCCCCCGCTACCTGCGGGCGGGGGCGGGCCCTGGGCAAAGTTTGTCTCTGTGGTTGGCTGCGCCGCGCGGTGCGGCCGGTCGGGGCGGGCGGGCGGCTCCGTGCGCTCGCAGGGCAGCGAGCGACCGCCCCAGGAGCGCTGCCTCCTCTCCGGGCGAGCCCAGCGCGCCGCGCCCCGGTCCCGCCTGAGCGCAGGGAGAGGCGCCGCGCAGCCCTTGGCCAGCATGGGGCACCGCGGGGACACGGCGCCCTGCCTGCCTCTTCTCCTCCTCGTCCTGCTGCTGCTCGGTGAGCCCGGGGATACGCGGCCGGGGGGGCCGCAGGGAGGGAGGGAAGGAGGGAGAGAGGGCGGCCGGGGGTGGGTGCGCTGCCACCTTGCTCGCAGGTAGCGCTGGGGGGCCGGGCAGGAGCTCCCCGCCGTGTGCTGAGCCCGGCCGGGGCGCTGCCCTGCGCGGGGCCGGGCTGTGCCTCCCGCCCGCCGGGCTGAGCCGGCCCCCGGCGCCGCAGCCCCCCGGCGCCGCTGCTCCCTCCGAGGGGTTGCTGCCTTGGGTGTCTCCCCGAAACTTTACGAGGCCTCCCCAGTATGGGGATGAGGTGTGGAGGGGCTGCCTGGCGCGATTGGGGTCCCGGCGGGGTGTAACGTGGCCGTGTGTCTGTAGTGGCTCCTCCACGACACGGTGCGTGGGCTGCGGTCTCTCGCTGGTGGAAGCGGTGAAATTTCACCTGGCAGGGGGGAAGGGGCTCGCTGGAGGGCCGAGCGGGGGATTCTTCTCCTCCTGTCCCGGGAGGGGCCCCCGCTCCCTGCTCGGGTTCTCCGGTTCTTCCCGGCTCCCTTCCCGCCAGGCTCCCGGGGTTTTGCTGCCTCTGCCGGGAAGTTCTCCCACTAGGAGATAGCGAGTGATTGTGTAGGTGATGGTTTGTGCCGTGTTCAGGTAGTTGTGTAGCTGTCGTTGATGTGACATGTGGCATTGTTCCTCACCGGTGTCAGGCAGCGTGCAGAAATAAAGACAGTAGCAGGCACTACTACTGCTAGTAGTGGGTGGTGGGGTTTTTTACTTCTTTTTCCTTTTTTCCTCCCCCCTCAGTGTTGTACTTTGTAGCATCATTGATAACGCTGTTAGAGAAGTAGCAGTGAGTTTAAATAGAGAACCAGAAGAGTGTTCGGATTGGCTCTGGGCAGGCAGAGATACCTCAGGTGCTGGTGAGCAAGCATCCCCAATTACTATATGCAGTTCTTGTTTCAGAGTGCTTGACTAATTTCGGATGGTAAGTGTGAGACTCTTCCAGATTTCAGGTGGAAGGAGTAACTAAACAGTGCCCCAACCCCAGTGCAACGTTCTTCTTTAAACAAAACTCTGGTCACTGACTAAGTTTGTGCGTGTACTTTTGACTTTTCTATGACTAATAATTTTTTTTTTTTTTAAAGTCTGCCAGAGCTCATTACTCATGGTTTGGCTGTTGAATCTTTCATAGCCAGGTCTGCAGAGCTGAGAGTTACAGTTGAAAAGTCAGCTTCCTAAACCTGGGCTCATCCCAGTCTTTCCTGAGGCTACTTGCAGGCAATTGGGTTTTCTGTCTGCAAGTCAAGATCCTACCAGACATAGGTGTCCACTGTGCTTTCTCTTACTTGCATCTGAGGTCAGTCACCTCGTTTGTCTCTACAACATAGGCATTCTACCAACCGAGGAAACAGTGAAGAACTGCAGAGCTCACCTGTAGTGTTTTTGTTTAGAAACAGAAATGGAATAAGATTTTTTTCGAGAGAATGGTTTAGTAGGACAAGCAGAAAATCAAGACTCTCAGATGCTCAAGGTCATGCAGCAAAAAGTAAAAACTATTAAGGATGACACACAACAGGAAAGTTGTTTTCTTCTTAATTCGAGATGAAATAGAACTTAAAATGGGCATGCACAGTTGTATGGTCACTGTTCATGATCTGGTTTGTCTGGGTGTTCAGAGTTGCCTTTCAGGAATTGTTTATTTTAGTAATTGAAATGGTGCTTTTAAAATTGAAAGTGCTTTTGTGTGCAGAATAAAAGCATCTGAACTTTAGTCTTACTTGTGGTGTGTGCTATGGTGTGGCTATTGTCTGATAAAATTACTTGTTGGCTTCTATGAGATATTCCCAATGTTAAGAGGTTGGGAAGGTGGTGTTTCTCTCCTTCTGGATGGGAGAATTATACTTCTGTGAACCATTTCTAGCAGCTCTTTAATGGAGAGAGGCTGGGGCTTTTTGTTAACTAATGTGCTGCAAGTGTTGGGGAATTCTTATGTAAGGGAGGTGGAGGGAAGGAGCTGAAGCATGGAAGAGTTCTTATGAGCACTTGATTGTTTTGTTCAGATGTTTATGTGGAGGGGCTGCGTTATCTTAAAATAATGCAGCAAAAGGATGCAAATGGCTGAAGTATTTGGCTGTGGTAATTGAGAATGTTTTATCATCCTTTCTTCTTGAACCAATACAGTTATAATCTGCTTGGTAAGGAGACTCTGTATCCTGATGTTAAGGCTTTATCTGGTCTGTCCTTTCTTCGCTCCTCTGGTGTGGTTAGATCCTGAGAAGAGAGGGCAGAATGAGAGCATTTTGTGCTGCCATTGCCTGTGTCATGTGTGATTTCACTCTGCAGCCAATCTACCTAATTAACCTGTGACTGCTCTGGAAACCAAAATATCTCTCCTAGGACAAGGCAGCCAAATGCAAAACAGGTACCTGGGCTCAGACTGTAAAGTAAACAACCAGCCTTCCAGCTCCTGATTTTTTTTTTTCCTGCTTCTTGTTTGAGGGTCAAGGAAAGAATTTCAGTGGATCTGAAAAAGACTGGTTTTTGTTTAAGTGCCATGGGGCATGAGGAGAGCACGTACTCAGTAGATCCTGGGGGAGAACCACTGATAATGGGTTTCCTAGAGATGGCCTTTTTCTTACTACTTTTTAGACCTGTGTAGCACTTGCTGTCTGCTATGATGAAAGTCAGTTCCAGCATGCCAGAACCCCAGGAGCCACGTGTTTGAATGAATAAGAGTTGCTTCCTACATCTCCTATCTGAAATTATTTTTGTTTCTTTTCCTCAGAAGCTACAACAATTAGTCACTTGAATCAAGGTTTAATTCAAGCTTTGCAACAGAGAGCTTTTGGTAATTAGTGTAAGTTATTGTGATCATGCACTTCAAGGAAAAGTGTGCTTTAATCTTTTCCTGCATTTGCAGCTAAAGTGGAGGCATTAGAAAATGGGAGAGCCTCGAGGTTTAGGGCAGGGAGGCAATGTAAGGATGATTGCCCATGGAGTCTTCAAGGTATGCTGGAGTGAAATATGCTTCCTGTTCCCTTGCTGGTGCCTCTCACTTGCTGATGAGCCCGGGGCTGGTGCTGGTGGCTTTTGCCTACCTGTTGTTGGAAGAAGGCAGACTCAGATCTTCTCTGGTACTCAGAGAAGTACTTCTCTCTGCCTACCTCTGTAACCTTAGTGGTGGTTAAAAAGTCTCCCAGAGGGGAAATACCAATAAGACTGTCCTGGTCTCAGCAGCTGCAGAGGCTACTGAGGCACTAGAAGCACGCAGTGAGCCTTGGAACTGGGTTGGTGAGGCACTGAAGGGCAGGTGGTGTTGCTGAGGAGGAAGCTCTTTCCCTGTGGTTTTGTCATGCTGATGTATTTTCTTAGTGTGTAGGCTGTGGGAATGGAAGGACTAACTGTGTAGTGAGTGTTTTTTGCTTTGCATCCTGTATTCTTTTGGCTTGACAAATGGCAGCTTAGTCACCTTTCCTTGGCTCTCTTGTATCTCTGTAGGTGCCTTTCTAGGACTCCTTTTTAGGGAGTGTGGGTGCTTTTTCTGAAATTCTTCGACCTTGTTCTCCAGGTTTTTCGATGGCTACATTTCAACATAGCAACAGCTTGCTCTCTTTAGGTAGCCTCTGTTGTATTTGGCTCTAATCCCTGAACTGAGGTATAAACCTGCCTGAACAAGATTTGAAATAAGCAGTAGGGGTCATTTAAAAATGCAACTACATGCTTGATTAGAGGGGAATGTTCTTAAGAAATAGTATATATCCACCTGTCTGGCTATGTAAACAAACATTCAGGGACATCTGAGATTTCAGCTTTCGCATCTAATAGATGTATTGTTGATCTGGTTTTGTGTCCTTCTTTTTGTTGTTGTATAGTTGGGTTTTTTTCCCCCAATCTCCACAATCCTTGTCAAACACTAACCTGCATAACAGAAAAATATATTTTTTTTGGTAGGGAAATGGTTATGTATCTCAATAAGATATTTTTAGAAAGTCCATGTTTTTCATTTGTGTTGTTTTAGATGCCTTTCATTGATATATTTTATTGTGTGTGGAGTTCTATGTTTTAGAAGGGAGGGAAAATGTCTGAAAATGTGAATTCTTTCTGATTCTGTATGGAAGTCAATTGCTTGAAAGTTAAGTTGGAGAGAACTTGAGGAAAACATTAACATGAACTGGGTCAAAGTAGGGGGTTAGGTCAGTGTCTATAAAAGTCTCTAGTACTTTCAAAACAAAGATATTAGGTGGTATATAGTAAGACTGTCTATTGTAATGCAAATAAAATATCTATTTAATACTTTGTTTTTGACTTTTATTAGAGATGATGCAGTTACTTACCAGGCCCTTGTAGATGTTCTTATTTCTTAGATCTGTGTTAGTAAGTGATTAAAAGTCAGTTTTATAGAGACCTGTGAGGTGAAGTTCTCTAGGCATACCAGTGTTTCCATTTATGCCCAACAATAAGCAGTTTTATGGATGACTCTACTTCCTAACCTGAATAACGTATCACAAAACTAGTTCAAACAAGCCAGGAAGAGACTGTAGCATAAGCAGGTTTGTGGTTATTAGAATCTCCTGCCATAAAGGAGTGAGCTTGTATCAATGAGATACTAAGTTCTCCATTTCTCCAATTTTTTTTTTTTTAGTTGATTCTTTAGAAAACTTCAAATTGTAGCTTTCTTCTAAGATTTGAACACCTGCTGAGAAGAGGCTTTAAAATAACGAAATCAACTTTTAATGCACTTTATACATTATGTTTTGCAAGGGGCAAAATCAGTTTCAGAACAAACTGCATTTGGGATAGGATGATCTGAAAAATAGCTGCTTAGATGCCAAAAGATAATGTCTTTCCAGATCATCAGCATATCTAAAATAAGATAAGAAGCAAGACAAGAGGTTATGGAACTTAAAGTTTCTTGGCTTTTTGAGTTTCATATCAGAAACTGTCTTGTTCATTTACATGTAAGCTTTCATAATTGTAAAGCATAACTGATTTCTTCTAAATGAAGTC